TTACAATTTTTTGTTTAAATTCTCTTTAAATCCTTCAAGCACTGTTTTCTTTAAAATTTCATTCAGGAAATGTCTCTGTGTCCTATAAGACTTTTTTTAGCCTCCTGTGTCCTTTATGTCTCATTTTGCATCCTTATAGGTCCTCATGTCTCCTTTCATGTTCTTTTATTTTTTCATGTTTATGGGTTTTTTTAGTTTCCACCCGTCCGTCCATCCGTCCATCCATCCATCCATCCATCCATCCACCCACCCACCCATCCATCCATCCATCCATCCATCCATCCATTATCTTCCTCTTGTTCAGAAGTCAGGTCTCAGGGGACGTAGCTGAGCAGGGAGGTCCAGACATCTCTCTCCACAGCCTCTTCCAGCTCTTCTGGGAGGACTCCAAGGTGTTCCCAGACCAACAGAGACACATAGTCTCTCCAGCGTGTCCTGGGTCTTCCCCGGTGTCTCCTCTCAGTCGGACATGCCCGAAGCACCTCCCTAGGGAGGCACCAAGGGAGCATACCTGAACCACCTCAACTGGCTCCTCTCAACATGAAGGAGCAGTGGTTTTACTCTGAGTCTCTCCTGATAACTAAACTCCTCCCCCTGTCTCTCAGGGAGAGTCCAGCTCCTGCAGAGGAAACTCATTTCAACCTCCTGGATCCATGATCTCATTCTTTCAGTCTCTACCAGAGTTCATGACCAGAGGTGAGGGGAGGAACGTAGACCGACCGGTAAACAGAGTTTTTCTTTACAGCTCAGCTCCCTCTTCACTACAACAGACCAGCACAGAGTCCACAATACTGCAGATCCTGCACCAATCCGTCTGTCAATCTCACGCTCCATTCTTCCCTCACTCGTGAACAAAACCCTGAGATACTTGAACTCCTCCACTTGAGGCAGAACCTCACCCTCGACCTGAAGAGACCAACCCATCCTTTTCTGTCTGAGGACCATGGCCTCAGATTTGGAGGTGCTGGTTCTCATTCCAGCTGTGAACCGCTCCAGTGAGAGCTGAAGATCATGGCACGATGATGCCAACAGGACCATATCACTCGTTCGTGCTGCTGTTCGGCATATTGTTTTTGTACTACTAGTGCTGTTTAGAGTGTTTCTTAGTTCATATCTTAGATCTTATTACTGTAGCTCTTTACAATTGATACTTTTGTTGGATGCAACTGGGACCCTTTGTACATAGTTTCATTCCACGACATGTACCACATGCTGCGAATGACAAATAAAGAAACTTTGACTTTGACATCACCTTTTAGTTTCCTTGGCTCATTTTTGAATAAAACCATTTTATCTTTTTACGATATTTTTATATGTTTAGCCTGCAGCTAACATATTATTTAAACATTGTTGTCACAGATCATTTACAAAGTAATATCCATAGGTCCTAATAGTGAACCATGCGGAACACCACGTTATTGTCTTGAGCTGTGGTTCTTTATTATGTGCACAAGTATTTAAACTTCCAGTTCCAGTATTTAACGGTGAACTGTTCTAACAAGTAAATCAGCAGCCATGAAGTCTTAGATTGGTTTTTGGTTTTTATTAGAGCCAGACCAGTCCCCCCCCCCCCCCCCCCCCCACCCCCACAAAAAAAAAAAAAAGATCTCTGCTCAGCTAGGCACATCACTGATAAAAATCACATGTCGATACACATAAAAAACAACAAGTGTTTGTGTTGGAGTTGGCACATCGTCTGAGTTCAAACAGCAGGAATCACAGTCGGATGAGACTCAAACTCTTTGGTGTTTAAAGCCGGGACAGACTTTAGCCTCAGATTATGGGTTTTCTTCAGATTCCAGCTCAAATTATGTTTGTCTTTTCAGATTGGGACATTTGAGGGACACTGACTGAAGTTTCTGTGCTAATCAGGAGTTAGCATGCAGTGCTAGTTAATGCTAAAGTTTTTTATGCTAACATTTATGTACAGCAGGATGTTGGTGAAAGCTGAAGGCAAAATAAAGCTTAAATATATAAAACTAATATGATTATAAAATATATTTTTACATCATACAGTGATAGTTCTACAGATTGTCTTTGGCTAATCACTACAGACAGGTTAGTATCAAATTTTAAACTCTCTTACAGGCACCAACACGCACCTCAACACACATACAGTTTAAAAA